TTTTTTTTTTTTTTTTATTCGGCATGGTATTGTAAGAACCTGTTGAGTAGACTCGTATGTAATAGTTCTTTATGTTTTCCGTACGTATGTATGAGCAATATATATGAATGTGCGTTGTAAAAAAGGTATCTCATTATAGATTTGCTAGAATATTGTATACAATGTATCCGACCAACTTAAATTACTGGGATGAAGTGTTTGATTCACTTGGTTCGAAGAATAAATTTCAGATAATTATTTGAAAGAAATGTATTTTATTGCTATCCGAAACAGCATCTCTTTTTGTTTTTCTTTTCGCAGTGCTCAGACATATTCCATTTTGTAGTTTGTACGAGCAGCAAGATGTGGTAAACTTCGTCATGTCGTATGTACGAGTGTAAGAACTAAAGGAGGCAAACAAGACGATAAAGGCTTCGTATTTTTAAGAACTTATTCCTCTATTAAATAAAAACAGAAACGTTCTTAGACACGTAAGCTCTTCTTTTAAAGAATCTCGCGATTCTTTTCTAAAGAGGTGCGACACGCGCATATTTAGAAAACTATCGATTCATTTCAACTTTCTCGGGCTAAACGAAACTTAAAATATGCATGATTGTCTGTAATATCGTAAGACAATACACGAAATTTGAATATATACTGAACCAAAAATAAAGTAAACGTAATTTGTGTTGTCTTTATGCAAGAATAAGTTTGTTTTTGGGGGGGAAAAAAAACTTTATAGCATTTTTTAAAATAAATCGTATATAACGTATCCTAAAAACGTCAACACGTGTAGTAATTTACGACGGTGAATTGGCGTTCCATGGATTTCTTTCTCACACACTCCCTCCCTTTCTCGCTCTCATTTTCTCTTCTTTGTTAATCTTAATTAATGTCAACACGTACGCATATATTTACTTATTTCTTAATACTAAGTCTGATTTCTTAACTACTAAACACGCCGTGGTCACCAATCTATAACAAACAGAGTATAAACTGCGACCCTTCTTCCAAACTTTGTTGCATAATAACATTGTAATAAAATTAAAGGATAAAATGTACAGAAGAGCATTTAGAAAATGTTTATAAGTGGCGGGACTCTTACGCTACACTGAGCAGACACACTGGTCCTTTAACAAACCAGTAACAGGGACCTACCTCATCAAGTGGTGTTATGTACCAATTTTAAAAACCTCGCAGAAAGAGTTGAATTCGGTGTATCTTTTTACGCAAAGATTCTTGATGATCTATCATTAATTACGTCGAATCCAAATTCCACAGCACCATTGCACTACTGCGTTTTTTTTTTATTTTACGTCGTTTCAATAAACAATGCGATTTTGCGGTTTCGGTCAACTTCTGTTACTAACAAATTTATAATTACATATATCCTAGTAAAATTTCTAACTTCCTCTCTTCCTTTCTTCTTTTTGTCTATTCATTTAACCTGATTCGTTTAGATATTCGGGTTACGTCATCGAATCTTGTTATTGCCGCAAAGATACAGTCTTATGTGATTCAAAGGTGTGGAAACAGCGACGTAAGGCAGTAGCGTCGTTGACAGTCGGGTGTCTGTCCAGCACGGAAGTCGGTCCCTTTCCTAGCTTCATCGCGAGAGAGAGTGCGATCGTTCGTGACTTTGTTGAGAATCGCCAGCTGCTCGAAGATCCGGCAGTCTCTGATGCGCAGGCAACGCGTCAAAGAAAGGATGTGCCAACGCGTCTTTCAGTGTTATTCTCTGAGATGGCTCATACTCCAACATCTTTTGGATCAGATCGAATAATTGTCGATGTTCCTCGTCGTCCGAAAGCATACAACGCTATACGTACAAAAGGAAAATACAAGTTAATGATTGAATTACAGAGAGCTTTTACACAAAGGCGTGCAAAGTTTTCCCACTCACAGGGAAATAAGAATTTTTTTTACAATTACATAATCCAGCGTGATATACTTAGACAAGTGAGTAATACTTACATGCAAAGGCTTGCAATTGTCGCGGACGTATCGACCGGCTGAGCTCTTCTCGTCCCAGTCTAATTTGCCGTGATAGAAATATTTAGTTTTAGTTTTGCGGGCCATACGATGCGGAATCGTGCCAAGTATACGTTCCATCATCGCTAGGTGTTCGCGGTTGTCGTGCGTTTGGAATAAGGTAATACCCAGGTACAATTCGAAGAGGATGCAGCCAATCGACCACACGTCACAAGGCTGAGACCATCCTAATTCTATACAAAACACGCAATGAATAAGAATTTCGCAATTCGAGAGCAAGTTGATTTTACGAATGTCACTCACCTAAAATTACTTCAGGCGCTCTATAGTGTCTCGTGCTAACGATCGTGCTGTGATGCTCGTGGTCGAATGTTGCGCTACCAAAGTCAATGAGTCTAATGTCTGTCCGTTTTACGCGCCTAATGTCCCTCCGCTTAAAAAGAAGGAACTTCTTTTACAAACTTAAGAACACGACACTCGGTCATACATTTTATCTATAGTTAATTTACGCAGCGCAAGTGTCACTCGGAACCACGCAACGTTATATATTACTAATTTACTATAAAATTAAAATTCGACTATCAATATGCAAGAATTAGAAGCAGACAGTTATACTCTAATGAACGAGTTCTTGCAAGTTGATCTTGAATTTTTAATTAAAAATTTTGTATATATAAACAGACCTAGAGATAAATTAAATAAAATGCAATTTGATGTGCACAACTCTTTCTTTTTCTTCCATATGTCAGATAAAATTATTAATTTCATTGCAAATATTATAAATGTAATAAAGTGACACTATAATAGTCATAGTACTATTATAGTACTATAATAGTATTCCAAGTGACACTATAATAAATTGTTCCATGTTAACATGGAAGAAGCAAATCGGTGCCTCACCTTTTTGCTACTGTATATGCTGTCATAATCGGAATCTACGAATAGTATGTTTTCCGGTTTCAAATCGGTGTGCGTGAGTTTATTATCGTGTAAGAATTTGACTGCGTAGCAAAGTTGATATCCAATATGCCTGACATGTTCCAATGGATAAGGCTGGTAACTATTATCTCTCTGTAAATATAAAACAGTACGTAAAGAACATGGAGCACTAATGCTATTTTATAAACGTGCTATTACATACCAAGAAATCAAATACGCTAAGCCCAAGCATTTCGAAGGCGATGCACATGTGTCCGTGATAATTAAACCAATCGAGCATTTTCACGCACAAGCTGAAAATAACGATGAAACGTCATTAGTTGAATATAAGAAACGAGTGCGTCAAAGTTGTAAAAATATAACGAAAGCAGGCAGGAAAAACGGCGCGAGAAAATAGAAGACGATTCTTTTAAGTGTAAATAACATTTCACGATAGATTAGGTTTTGGAACCGTTTCATACGAGGAGAATTATATTTAATAGTATAATTAGTTTAACTCTAATTCACCTTGTAACACTAATTTCAATGCTTTAGTCAAAATCTTTCTAATTTCTTGCTCATATTCAATTGAATTATACTGTGGTTTTATTTGCTGAACACTGTTACTTTTAATAACACGATGATTCATGTCTGACACGCTATAACACAGTGTAAGAGATAAACTATTTACATACCTTTTTGGTACCAAAGTCTTTGATAAAGAGAAAAAAAAAAAAAAAAAAAAAATTACAATTAGATGTAAAAATAATTTCAAAAATTCTTTCTCATATTCTCAAGTTAAATCAAACCGTTCAAAATAAATGAAAACTGAATACATATGTATAAAAAAGAAATAGAGTAGGCGAGAATCTCGCCGCAGAGTTTTCAGTTTATTTTTATACGAAGAATCGCCCTCTGTTCGCCGCGGTCCAGAGTCCCCACCAGGTCGAGAGAAATCACGCAAATACTAACTGTTGGCCTTCCGGATCCTTGGTCGCAATTTTCTCTAAGGCATTTATTTCGAGTTTAGCTGCTTCTCTATACTTCTCTACGTTCTTAATGATTTTCAGCGCCATCACGTGATCCCTGCAAACGTCATTGTACTTTTATTAAACGACACGTCCATCGGGCCGCCAATAATCCACATGGTTGGAAGCATCATCAATAGTATACACGTATGATAAGTAGTATGCACCGGGCAACAAAAGCGCGCTCGTTTGAAACGCAAAAGAGGGGAGGAGAATGGAAAGCAAAGGAGAAAGGAGAATGCGAAGAAGAAGAAGAAAAAAGAAAAAAAGAAGAAGATGGTTCAAAGAAATTCTCCCCTGGTTGGTATCCCGACGAGCGACTTCATGACAACTCGTTCGCTCGTCGAGGCCCGTAAAACAAAGTGCAAGGCCATCCTATTATTGCGACTACTTGCGCGTCATTTTGTGACACTACGGCACGGCTATTTCTGACTCTGCTATGACTCGAGTCGAGTCGAGTCGAGTCGCGCCACGCCACGCACCTTTGCGATTTGCCACGGTGCATGTTGCCGTTCTAGCTGGATAGAAAGTTCTGAGACCAATGGGAAAGTATATTTTCCGAAAAGGGAAATCAGGAGGAAAGTAGATTTATGGAGAAGTACAGGGCAACCCGTGAATCACATTAATAATAAAATGATAGAACAAATTCCTTTGTACATGTCCGTAAATTTTCATTTCACGTTGTGAAGATTCGTCATGGGAGCGATTCGCTGGAGAGCAAAAGGAAACAATTGAATTCCTTTTTTTACGTGTTATGCTATCTAACTTTTGTGTCAGGACTTTGCTCGTGAAGTTAATGATACGTTATTTGGTTCAATATTTCCAGCATGAAGAGTTCTTTTGATGATTTATCAGTGAACCGTGTTTCAGGGTGTGTTTGGGAAATTGCTGATTATGTCAGAGTATTTAAGAAACAGGTATTGAGTTCCTTGCCAATTTGGAATATCTTGCAGATGACCAACATGTTTGATCACATATTTGTACGAGGGTACAAATGGTGCATGAAGTAATAATCTCTCGCTCAAATAAATTAATACAAATAATTTCTATGAATTATAATTCATATAAAATTGTGGAATATATTTTTAGCAACAGAAGCATCATTCGTTGATTCAGTAATACTATTAGTGAATGATTGTACAATATTTCTGATTAACGTTAAAACTATCGTCGACTAGAGTACAAAAAGCTCAAGGAAGCGAGCTTTTATTTCATTCTATAAAATTCATTCAAGTCTATAAAATTTCCACGAAACATTGCTAATTGATCATTTTGACCATTCTCATAGCTCTAGTATCTAGACAGAGGCTCCTTGCCCTGAACACGTTGAACCAATATATTTCTACTTTTATGAGCAAATACCTCACACGAAAGTAGAGAAACGCGTGTTCTCCACTTCAAGACAACAGCATTGTCTTTAGAAAGAGAATTCAATTATTTTCTTACGTCGCTCCACGAACACCTCCATCACGAACTCCCAAAAAAACCTGAAACAAAATTTACACACAGTAAGAAAGAACTTAGTGCGTCAAAACTAGAAAAATCGTTTTGCGTACAAAGAAAGAAAAAAGGGAAAAACAAAGAAGACTGCGTATAAAGAAAAGAGAAGAGGGGAAAAAAAAGACGCAGACTCGAGGTAGGTTACCTACGGTAGTAGATACGTGAGCTGCCACTTACATTTGCAAGTCCTTAACCTTGACAACTTTTCCAAAAGTACCCTCTCCTAGGGTGGCCAGTACTTTATCTGCAACGTAAAAACATAGATGAGCGTCCGGGTATGTGAAAGACCTCGCGTCCATGGAAGATCGTCTATGTTGCTCCATGAAGGCCCTAATCTCTAGCGCATTGCTCGGAACGCAATTTACCATCGACGAGCTATTTGCAACGAGATATTTAGTACATTCTTCCGCCTCGTCGATGATCAATCTTTCTTGGTACACATCGA